AATCGAACTAGTGCGCATGCCCGGGCGCAACATTGTTGCACGAACCTGGCCAAACGACCACAACATCATGTAACATCCACAAATCCACTTAATCCACAAATCCACAAATTTGCGTGGAAAATTTGGCCCTTCTCAAATTTGAGCCAACAACACCCAGCATGTCGCAACACGTCGCAACATATTGGCAAAACGCGCGCAACATGTTGCGCCCAACTATGTTGCGATATTTCGTATAATGTGATCGTCTGGGTGAGTTTAGCCATGATGGTATTGGCTGAAAGACTCGTGTAAAGTTTGTCATCAGTCATTGATCGGTTTCGATCCGTCTATAGTTAGTCAAATTGGTCGGTTTTGGTTAGAAATCCGTTTGTCGGTTTCGTTTCCGTCGTGGATAAGTCGTTCGTAAGCCGCCGGTAGTTGTTGACATCTGTTAAGAGGCGTTTGTTCTAGGTTAGTGTACCAGCTTTCCAGANTGGTCTGTCTATTGTTAGTCAAATTAAGTCGGGCTGTTGGAAGTCCGTTTGTCGGTTTCGTTTCCATCGTGGATAAGTCGTTTGTAAGCCGCCGGTAGTTGTTGACATCTGTTAAGAGGCGTTTGTTCTAGGTTAGTGTACCAGCTTTCCAGAGTCAGTCGTTGAAGACTGTTGACTAAAGACGAACAACAAGCACTGAAACGACTAAAAAACGACAACAACATTGTTATACTACCAGCCGTCATTATGGACAAGACTGACTACTTTGACTTTACACGAGTCTGTCAGCCAATACCGTCATGGCTAAACTGACCAATCACCTTTCACGGACCAGATTTATAACATCATCGACTGGCAAATACTATTTACTTGACTTTGAAGATGACTTCCGCTCAGGTTGTCGAAACGTCAGTCACCAACAACAGTTCTTTTCAGATATTTCAGATCACACTATACGAACTACTCAGTGATACTCCTGGGTTCAAACCATTTACTATATGTCGCGATGTGTTGCGTTGAAATGTTCGTTTGGTCGGGGCTTAAGAACACCGCGGTCTCAGTGCAAGCCTCTAATTCTCTTGATAAACCGCGCGCGTGAAATCCATCGGGAGAAAATCATGCTCTTGAGGACAAACTTCTCTTAAGTTGAGTGTATAACTGCGATGATCAATCATGTCTTCACAAGTAGATTCAATCATCGCAAAAATCTCTAAGGACACCGCGATCTCGCAAGCCTCCAAAGCTTTCAATAACCGCAGATTATTTGTTTCCCAGAGAAAAATCTTTAAGCCTTTTTTTTTTTCTTTTTTCAACAAACTGGGATCAATCTGAGAGATCCTGAGACACTTAGACACTTGCATAGCTTGAGAGAGCATCCGGTTTTCAACTTTTGTTTCAAGTCACATAATCTTCCTCCCCCATGTGGGGGAGGGCGTCTGCGTAGGAGGCTAATACGAACTCTTATACGAGTTAGAGTTTCCCGAGGTGTCCAATCGATGACAATCGATACCAATCAATTTCAATAAATCGATTAATATTGATAATTGAGGACCAATTAGTGAAGAGGATTTGTGGGACCTTATATTGATTGGCCATTTTAAAATTTGTTTCTTTTGTGTGGCTTACTAGCCACACTAAACACAAGTCGGCATCCAAGAGGTTTACAGTTTCAGAGAACATATGTCCCATATTTGTAGCTAATTCGTATATTTGCTAGCCAATTTGGGATAGGGCTGAAGTGCCTTGTAATTTTTCCCCTTGGAGCAAGGTTTCTTACGTGTTACAATGGCTGGCACTCGCGTTCCAAACTAGGGGACCCGAGTTCGATTCCAGGATCCGTCCGGCGTTGTTTTTGTTTTTGTTTTTTTCTTGTT